CTGAGCCACAGCCGCCCCTTGTCCTATGTCTGTCATGTTTGAAACGTAATGGAGAGACGGGGTCAGTATCAGCTAACGTTTAAAATTAATCTTAAATGAGTTCTGTCAAAACAGCAAAGACTGACAAAAAAATGCTGTTTGGAGGGAACATGAATTGAAATACACTTGGCTGGAAAGCCTGACAGATGTGCACAGTCTAACACTGTACTGCTGGAACAAAATACACACTCTGTCATATCAGTTACAAAAACATTTAAAGCACATACTGTGCACGAACAGCTGGATTAAAAAAAAATAAACATTTGAACTTTGTACATGGTACAGAATGTTTGAATGGACCTCAACCCTTAGCAGGGCTTCATCCAATGGCCAGGTTACATATTTCTGCTATAAAATGGATCAGAACATGCAAGTGAAATCTTTATAGCTTTAAACATTGACTCTAAATGTCTAAATTAGCTTAAATTAGCTTAAGGTGGATGATGTGAGTGAGGTTAATTATAATGAGTTTGAGGATCCTAAAGCTCATCAGCTCACACAGAAGGTTTTGTATTCACTTGGATATACTGAGGTGTAAAATTTCTATCAAAGGAATTAATTTAACTGTGGCTCTTGGCTTGATGAATTTCAAGGAGCAAAAGAAAATTTCCAGCTGTAACCACTCGCATAAAAAGCTAAATGTGTCCCAGAAGTATTTTTGGGAAGGGCATTTGACTGACTTCATACTGAACCCATTACGTCCCCACAAATGACATCTTAAGTGCCTCTGAATAGTCGCTTCTCTGAGGACCTGTGAAACAACACTTTATTCAGTCCATTTAAATAACATGAGTAAAAACGTGTAAAAATATTGATTTCTAGCTAGGAAACACTGCTGCGCCACAGCTTATTTAATGCAGCAGCTCCTCAGCTGTACATTTCTATTGCCCTTCTCTTCCTCTCTCAGGAAGATTCCACTTAGCAAAGATTTTGGTGCAGCATGAGGACTGCAAGCTATGCAGGGATGAAGGCTTGTGAATGGGCCAGCTAGACTTTCTGTGACCTCTGAGGCTTAAAGCGGAGGAAATGCAACCCTTCGTCCTTTAGTCCCACCCCATCGGTCCATCTGACGGCCGTCACCAATGATTAGAGTCCAGCGTGGGGAGATTACAGCCTATTAGCACAGAGACGGATGACCAGTAGTAACCTCACTACCGCACTCTATTTAAAGACATCCTACTCTGCATTCTCTTGTTCTTCTCTTGTTGTTTAAGTTTCCTTCACTCACTTCAATGCACTCCATCTTTTTTTTTTTTGCTATTTTAACCTCCAATGCTTTATCAGCCTTGCACAGCACCTAGTCTTTCACTCTTAACCACTCATTTTTATCGCTGTGTGCCATTCCTCTACATAGAACACACTCAAGGAGTCTAACCACAACTTCTTCCTGTCACTGCCACTAAAGCATAATTGTACAGACACCGTTACACCCAGTGAAACAGCCATTTCCCCTTTCTGAAGTGAAACGCAGCACAACAGGTAATTGCAGTTATCGTTCATGAAATAAAATCAGATAGTGATACAAGCTGCAGAGGAAAGAAGCACTAGGGATGAATTAAGCAGGAAGGATTGTTATATATAAAATATATATATATGTATAACAAAGGTTCACCAGTGTAAAGCAAAAGTAAAAAGAGATATACAGAGCAAGCAAAAGCTAGAGAGATCTAAACTGTCATTGCATTGCAGAAGGGTTAAAGCAGCTGTGGTCTAGGCAGTGGCACTTACAAAGGCGTCGGAGGCAGCCAGGAAGCCGGTGAGGTGTGATGTGTGTCTGTGTATATGTGT